TGCCCCCCAAAATATTTTATTTTTAAGTAATCTCTACACTCAGCATGGAGCTCAAACTCACAACCCCGAGATCAAGAGTTGCATGCTCCACTGGCTGAGCTAGCCAGGTGTCCCAAGAGTTTTATGGCTTTAGATCATATATTTAGGTCTTTGATCCATTTTGAATTGGGATTCTAACTTCCATCTTTTGCATGGTGATAACTAGTTGTTCCAGCAACACCTAGATGATTCCTTCTCCATCAAATTGTCTTTGCATCTTGTAGAAAAATCAGTTGACCACAGATGTAAGGGTTTATTTCTGGAGTCTTAGTCCTATTCCATTGATCTATATGTTTGTCTTTATGCCAGTAGAACACTGTGTTGATCACTGTAACTATGTAGTAAATTTTAGAATCAATAAGTATGAGGCCTCAGATTTTTTGTTTGTTTGTTTGTTTGTTTGTTTTCTTCAAGACTTCTTTGGGATCTATTCTGGATCCCTTGCACTTCCATATGAACTTCAGGATCAGCTTATTGATTTCTGCAAAAAAAGGCAGCTGGGATTTTAATAGAAATTGCAATGAATCTGTAGATTAGTTTGGGAAGAATTGCTATCTTAACATATTAAGCCTATGGTCAATAAATACAGGATATTTTTCCATTTATTTATCTTTAATTTCTTTCAATAAGTATTTGTATTCAGTGTACACATCTTACACTTCTTTTGTTAAATTTATTCTCAAGTTTATAATATTTTCATGTTATTGTAAATGGAATTCTTTTACATTTCATTATTGGATTGTTCAGTGCTAATGAATAGAAATACAATTGATTTTTATGTATTGATATTGTATCCTGCAACCTTACTAAACTTTTTTATTAGATCTAACAGGTTTGTTTTTGTTTTTGTTTTTGTAGATTTTTTAGGATTTTCTATATACAAAATCATGTCATTTCTGAATGGGTATACCTTTACTATTTTTCTTTCCAATTCAGATGGCTTTTATTTCTTTTTCTTGCCTGAGTGCTCAGGCTACAATCTCTAATATAGTACATGTCGAAATCAAGTAGAAAGAGCAGAAATCCTTGTCTTGTTTCTGATTCTAGGGGGAATGTTTCAATATGATGTTAGTTGTGGGGTTTTAGATAACCTTTATCAGGTTGAACAAGTTCCTCTGTATCCCTAGTTTGTTGAGTATTATCATCATGATAGGGTGTTGAATTTTATCAAATGTTTTTTCTGCATCTATTAAGATGATCATATGGGTTTTGTCCTTTATTTTATTGATATGGTGTGTTCTATTCATTGACTTTCATATGTTGAACCAACTTGGCCTCCCTGGGATAAATCTCACATGATTACAGTGTTTAATACCTTTCATTTATTGCTGGATTCAACTTGCTAGCATTTTGTTAAGGATTTTTGTGTCTATGTTCATGAGATATTTGTGGCTGTCTTCTGATGTCTCTATAGGGTTTGGTGTCAAGGTAATACTGGCCTCATAGAATGTCCTGGAAAGTGTTCCCTCCTTTTTTTATTTTTTGAAAGATTTTATCAAAGATTGATGTTAATTCTTCTTGAAATGTGATGGAATTCACCAGTGAGGTAATTTGGGCCTGGGTTTTTCTTTGCAGAAGTTCTAAAATTACTAATTCAGTATCTTTGTTTGTTGCACATCTACTTAGATTTTCTATTTCTTCTGCATCTGTGTCTTTCTAGGAACTTGTCCATTTCATCTAAGTTATCTAATTTGTTGCCATATAATTTTTTGTAGTATTCCTTATAATCATTTTTATTCTCTAATGTAATTTCTGTAATATTTTTGTAATTTGATCTTCTCACTTTTTTATTGGTAAGTCTAGCTAAAGTTTTGCCAATTTTATTGATCTTTCAACAAAAGAGGTTTTGTTGATTTTCTTTATTGTTTTTCTGGACTCTAGTTTATTTATTTGCTCTAATACTTATTATTTCCCTTCTTGATTTAGGTTTAGATCATTCCTCTTTTTCTACCTTCTTTAGGTGGAAGGATAGGTTATTGATTTGAGATATTTCTTCTTTTTAATATAGGCACTTACAGCTATTCCCCCTAATGTTGCTCCATCTCATAGTTTCCCTTTTCCCCTCTTGCAGCTAAGGCAAAGTCTTGATCATTTGGACATTCCCACCAGGACGTTGAGTCTTGAACAAATAGTGTAAAAACAAAACAAAACAAAAACAAACAGGGGACAGAGTAGAATTCACTTAAGATGGCAGCATGCAATGGTGATGTAGTGGTTCCAGCTGTGGTATACTTAACTAGACCATTCCTTTGTTGTGACTTTGGTTGAGATTCCTGGTTCTATTTTCTGAGCTTAATTAGCTGGCCTTCCTATCAAACTGAGGATTACTTGATGACCTTCCAATATATTTATTTCCTCCTTAGGTTGGTAGAGTTGGTTTCTGTTGCTTGAAACTAAGAATCTTGGCATACCATTTAGGTAAGGGTTGGGGAGAAGGAGAAAACAGAGGTCTTTCATTTTTCTCTTTGTCAAACTTTCTTTGTAAATCTCTGTGTTGCTAGTATTGTTGTATTACTTCTGTCATTTAAGGGGAGCCTGGGTGGCTCAGTCGGTTAAGCATCTGACTCTTGGTTTCCTCTCAGGTCATGATCTTATGGTTGTGAGATCCAGCCACATGTTGCACTCTATACTGACAATGTGGAGCTTGCTTGGGATTCTCTCTCAACCTTTCTTTCTGCCCCTCCCCTGCTTGTTCTCTCTCTTTCTCTCTCAAAATACATAAATAAACATTTTTTAAAATATATGCTTTTAGGGGTGCCTGGGTGGCTCAGTTGGTTGAGCATCCAACTTCGGCTTGGGTCTTGATCTCATGGTTCTTGAGTTCGAGCCCCACATGGGGCTCTCTGTTTTCAGTACATAGCCCACTTTCGATCCTCTGTCTCTGTCTGTCTGTCTGTCTCTCTGCTGCCCCACCCCTCAAAAATAAATAAAAACATTTAAAATATATATGTTTTTTAAATTGATAATCTAAAGCACAGTTGGATGAAGAGAAGTGGTGGGATATACAATTTGAAAATTAGGATAAGACCAGATTATACAAGGCCTTGAATGCCATTTTGAGGATTCTGAAGTTAGCTCAGTAAGTATTGGGAATTTACAAAGTGGAACAATGATGACATGATCAGATCTATGTTTGCTTTTTAAAATTATTATTATTTTTTATTTCCATGTAGATGAATTAGAACTCAGAGAAATTAGAAACCAGGAGAATAGTTAGGAGGAGGCTACTGCTATGGTCCAGATATAAGATTGAGAAAATTTCTCAATCTGGAGAGAGAAAAAGAAAGGAAGATTGTCAGTCACAGCTTGGATTTTCTGGAAGCAGATGCTGAGATAGTTTGAGGTGGAAGATATTAACTAGGGAAAGGAAGGGGGATTGAATAGAAGGAGAAGTCAAACTTCAGTGTAGATCTGACAGATACCCAGCCAACCTGGCAAGGAGCTCTGGAGTGAATACTGTTTATCAGAATTGCCCTGCAGTAGGTGGGACTGGCTGAGCCTTTATACCCCTGCTTTGCTCAGTCACCAGATGAGGATATCCCCAAGAGGAACATGACCTCATGCAGGACTGTTCTCTACAGGTAAGGCAGACACTGAAGGAACTGAAGCAGCTCGTGGCTATCTGCTGCCTAAGTGCCCTGTAGCTAAACACCCAGTAGAACTGGGCGGCACACCTCATACCTACCGCAGAGAAAGAGCTGAATCACCATATCTTACAAAAAAAGCAAGAGAGTGGAAAAGAAGGATTTGATTCTACACATACTATATTTTGTAGGGGGGGGATGAAGAAGGAGTAAATAAAGGTCAGCACTTAGGTTTCTACACTGATGTGGTTTGATAGTAATTCTGTTTAACTGATAGCAAACAACAAAGGAGAGAGAACAGGTTTGGGGAGAAAGATAAGGAATTTGACTTAGAACATGTTGACTCAGAAATGTCTGCAAAATATTAAGGTGGAGATGATTTTCAAAAATCAATGCAAATGTGGGGTCTGGAGGTCAGCAGCAAGTGCTATATTTATTGGGTGTACATATACATATTTATATAATACTCATAATGCCTCTATGAGGTAGGTGTTATTTTTATTATACCCTTTTTGTACATTTTATTATACCTTTCTTTATGAAGAAACTGAGACTTCAAGGAGTTAAATGCCCGGCTTAAAGAAGTAAAACTCAAATCTGTTTGATGGCAAAACACCTGCTTCCAAAGACAAGATTATATTGTTTCCCCATGGAAAAGACCACAGATAGATGACATATGAATACATCCACAAAGGGTACAGTTTAAATGGGACCAAAAAACCAAAACATGGAAGTCTAAAAAAGCCATGATTTCAAGGTGAGTTGAGTAAGATGACAAAGGCAATGGGATTGACTGAGTGGCGAGAACAGTTTCTAAAAATTAGAAGTATGGAATCTCAGGGGTTAGGGTAAAAAGAGAATTCTAGCCCACAACGGAAAATGTTGCAGATATCATGTGGAATGGAGATTTCACAATTAGAGGTCATTGATGATCTTAGAGCAGTTTATAGGGAAGTCAGACTGCAGTGATTTAGGAGTGGGAAAGGAGGGAGTAGAAGCAAAAGGTATAGTCTACGGGATCCCTGGGTGGCTCAGTCGGTTAAGCGTCCGACTTCAGTTCGGGTCATGATCTCACAGTCCGTGGGTTCAAGCCCCACATCGGGATCTGTGCTGACAGCTCAGAGCCTGGAGCCTGCTTCAGATTCTGTGTCTCCCTCTCTCTCTGTCCCCTCCCCTGCTCACACTCTGTCTCTCTCTCTCTCAAAATAAAATAAAGACAAAAGATCTAGTCTACTTTTCCAGAAATTTTGTAGAGGAAAAAATAATGCCATCTACATAAGTAAGGAATTTTTTTAAGAATATTATTAATTAACTAATGGCTCTTTGCTTCCATATTTTAGTTTATACTCCCACCATTTCTCTGATTATTTCTTTCTACCTCTACTATATCAGCATCCTTTCCCAAATCTGATGTGCCTGGGAGCATTGAGTGGTGTTTATTCTGGTTGATGGACTTCTTGTATTTGTTAGGTGTTTTGAATGCCTTGGGTGATTCTGTCTTTGGAGGACATGCCATAGACACCCTCTACCCCCACCCAACTCCGTCATCTGTTTTCCACAAAGATAGATAAGCATTCACTTCTCAGACCAATTCAGGAAAGCATGCAAGTTCTTAGCTGCTTAGTAAACCAAGAACTCTGTCTACTTAGCTTCTTCCTTCCCTTTCCCTCCCCCAAACTCTTGGTGGGCAGATCAGGGAGAAGAAAGGAGCTGCCACTCCAAACCTTCTGGGATATAATGTCCCAGATGGGGAATCTGTGTGGTTTTGCAGTGAGCTGAGATCTTCCCTCATCAGCCCTCATCAGTCCAGCCCTTTTTCAGAGGGGTCTGGAGAGCAATCAACACCGCCGTCCACCTGTGTACAGGAAGATGCCTACAGCCACACCAGCAATGATGAAACTGCCCACCAGGACACCCAGGACCAGCGAGGTGTAGGAGCGGCCTGTTTGGCTCCCTGCAGAACATGCACAGAATTAGCCTGAAGAACATACCTCCAAGAAGTCCATGGTTTAAATCAAACACTAAGGGATTTCTACCCCAAAGGAAGGGGGCTACTTCACCAAGTGACATAAGCTGTGTATACTCTGTCCCAACCCCCCAGCCCTGAGACTTCCGTTGCTCAAGGTATGCATCCTTCAGGTCTACCCATTTGCCTGGAACCCACCCAACAGCACACAGGCCCATCCCCGATCCCATCATACCTTTCGAGTTGTTCACAGTGATGTGTTCTTGCACATACTGCACACAGGTGTCCTGCAGGAATTCTCGCAGTTCGTACCGAGTACGATTGTAGGCGTTGAGCTGCTGCAGGGTGTAGGTGACCACCCTGGAGGGTGCCTGGGGCCCTGCCACCCATAAAGCTGTCTCTGGCTGGAAATGCACAAAGGAGCTCCCATTCACAGACACTTCGAAGAAGACACGTGCTGTAGAACCCTCAGGAGGCAGCTCACAGCCCAGGAAGCAGCGAATGATCAGAGGAACTGTGGATGAGGGAGGGTGAGAGGGCTGTATGGAGAGGATGCCAGCTGTGGGAGAATGTCCACCGGGGGAACATGAACTTTTGGGGTTTCGGGTGGATCAAGGACAGGGCATCCCAACAGGGTCAGCCCCGAGGTGATGCCAGCAAAAAGAGGGCCTGACGGAGGGCCCGCAACTAGGACACCCAGTCCTCTTCAGGCTCAGGCTCCCAACCAGCAATCAGCAAAGGCAGGTGCCCTGGTACCACTGGGCTGCTCAGAGCAGCCGGCTCACACAAGACCAAGCCACCCACAACACCCCTCCAAGAACGCCGTCCCTCCATGAGGCTCCGCCCCGTTCCCCCACAGGCCCACCCCATCAAATCCCGCCCACAGGCCGCGCCTCCCGCCTGGACGCGCCACCGCCGCCGCCGCCGCCGCGCGTAGGGGCGCGCGCACCACGCACAGGTCAAGCGCCGCTCATGGTGTACCAGCAGTACCAAGCTGTTGAACTGGTGCAGATAGGTCTTAAGGCTGTCTTCTGTGTGCATCCAGCTCTCAGGCTCCTGCAAGGGCTGCAACTGGCGGATCGTGACGTTGCTGCCTAGGCCTTCCAGCACGTGCGTCATTAGCCCCCCCAGCGACGCGTTGCCCTGGTGCCACACTTGATAGGGGTCGCGAAAGTAGGAGATCTGGAGCATGTGGAGGTTCCGAAGGCCTGCTGGGCAGTGTCAGCGCGTCAGGCCTTGGCCGGCGTGGCGGGGCTTGGCGTGTAGCTGGAGGTAATAACCCCCTACCTAAAGGCCGGCCGCCCACCTTCTCGGCCGTTCATAAACTACAAAGTGTTCTCCCACTCTTCCTCCCATAACCCTGTCAGGAGGGCAGGAAAGGGATTATTAACTTCGTTTTACAGATAAGGAAACTGAGGCTGGAAAGAGCAGAAGCCACTTGCCTCAGGGTAATCCAGTCAGTGGAAGAGCCACTCCCATCTTTCTGCCTCTCACCCTGTAACTACCCCCACTTCCAGTTGGTCAACAAATCCTGGCTTCCAGTAAAATCCTATTCCATCTCCTGTTCCCTGCCACTGCCCTACTTTACGCCTCATCGGTTCTCATCTGGACTCGGGTGGTAATGTCCTTCCTCTTCCCCGTCCCCTCATTTTTCAGTTTCACTCCTTCTTTTTTTTTTTTTTTCAACGTTTATTTATTTTTGGGACAGAGAGAGACAGAGCATGAACGGGGGAGGGGCAGAGAGAGGGAGACACAGAATCGGAAACAGGCTCCAGGCTCTGAGCCATCAGCCCAGAGCCTGACGCGGGGCTCGAACTCATGGACCGCGAGATCGTGACCTGGCTGAAGTCGGACGCTTAACCGACTGCGCCACCCAGGCGCCCCACAGTTTCACTCCTTCTAATCTGACCTCTCTCTGACCCAGAAATAAGATTATTCTCTCCTGCTTAAAATCCTCCAGTGACACACTCCCCTATCAAAATCATTAATAATAATAATAATAATAATAATAATAACAACAATAATAATGGCTATTATTGTTACTATGACCCAAGCACTGTACCTTACACATATTATCTTATTTGCGCCTTCCTCCCATTAGCTAAATGCAGTAGCTACTGTGATTAATCTCAGTCCATAAGAGACACAGCCTAAAATGGTGTAGCAGAACTAAGATTTGAGTGCAGGCGGTGTGATTCCAGCACTTTTAACCATCCAGCCACACTGCCTCCCCATAGGATATCTGTCCACAGAATGAAGTCCAAAGTCTTTAGCTTGGCATTCAAGGCTGCCAGAGACCAGGCCCCAACTGCCTTATTTAACCTCTTCTAGTACTTATATATAGTAAACTACTTGGAGTTTCTCATGCTGCCTTTTGGCTGACATGAATAGCATGTTGGGGTGTCTCTGCCTCTAGGCAAACTTCTATTCATGCTTCAAGACTCAGCTCTGTTGCTCTCTTGGAGAAGTTTTCCTGATGCCTCTCCTCTTTACCCTCCCGGACACAGCAGGTCTGTTTCAATGATCCCAGATTCCACGTAACTGTCTCCAAACACACAGACTCTACTGGGCTCCCTTAGGCTACAGAATCATGTCTGGTTATCTCTGTCTCCTACACCTATTAAGGCCCTGGTACAGGGTTGATGCCCAGAGAATGTGTGAGGGGGGAATGAGTCTGGGGTTATAAATTTCTGTGCGTGGATGTGTCTTGTCCACCTTTGCATTTGAAAAGTTGTGCTCTGTGTCTGTAGGTGTGAATAGGTATATCTATGTGAATAGCCCTAGATAAGGTTCCTAACTGCCCTGTGCCCAGTCTCCTCCCCTGTAAAAGAGAGATAATCATATTGCCTGCCTTGTAGAGATATTACGGGAGTCAGATGTGTCAGTGCACGTATTAACCATAGTGAGCGCTCCTTGAATACTGGTGATTTGCTCCCTCAGAGAGAGACCAAGGCTACAGAGACTGTGGGAAAGGGGAGGAGAGGCACCTGTGTGGTCACCATGCAGGGCAATAACACCTTTCTCTGCTTAAACAGCCACTTCAGGCAGCCTGACCCCCTGAGTTTTCCCAATGACCACAGCTTCTTCTTCCCCCGACTTTCCCCCAAGCTTCCATCCATCTTACACCTTCTCCAGTCTCCTCTTCTGCCTCACTTATCTCAGTCCCGGTCTCTCCAGTGGCTTCCCATTCCTTCCATCTCTCACGTCTTCCTGTCTTCCTTGGTCTTACCCCGAACCACGATCACCCTCAGCTCTCCCCCTCCAGATTCACCCCCTCTCCCGGGGGCTAATTCCCTTACCCTTTCTACCCATCCCTTTCCATTTATCCAGTTCTGTTTCACACCCCCTCCCCCCTCCCATCCCCCACTCTCCACCCCCTGCCTCCTCCATCTCCCCCTTCCCTGGGGACAGACTGTACTTCCTCACCTTGGCTTTGGGACACAAATCAGTCCCCAGCACCCTGCCTACCCTACAGAGAGATCTGGCTCGCTGCAGGCACAGACGCTGTGGGATAAGGTCTCCTCTGGTTTCTCCCATGTACCCAGACAGGCTGAGAGTCTCCAGAACCATCCCGGGGCAGATGTGCCCCTGACTCACCATCTGAGGCTTCATGGCTACAAAAGGCCCAGCCGGGCAGGAGCAGTAGACACAGCAGTGGCAGCAATGTTGTCAACATCCTGGGGCTTAGGTTCTTACCCCACCTGGGCTCCTTCCTGACTCTGGCAGGCAGAGGGCTCAAGCTGGCTGCAGCCTAGGGGGAAAAGAAGTAAGGACTGTCTGGAAGGAGAGGAGACTGCACAGAGGAGGCTGGAAGGTGGCCAGGGGATAGGAGGAGGATGAGAGCGTCAGGCTTATTAAGTGTTATTCCTACCCTGTCTCATTTCCTACTAGGGGGCTGGCCTCCCTCTTGCCCTTCCCCTGCCCCGCCCTGCATTGGGCCCTCTGGCCCAGACCTGCCTTTTCCCTTTTCCCTGGGCCTCTTCCAAACAGGGAGCGGAAAAAGGGGGAGTTGGGATCAGAGAGAAGTTCTGCCCTCGCTGAGTCAGGGGGTGGGGCTCTGCTTTCAATTTAGAGCAGACTCTGGGGTGTAGAGATCAACAGGTTACTGGTGGGGAAATTGAGGCCCACAGAGGTACAGGGACTTGCCCAACAGAAGTTTGTATATCACGGTAACAGATTGGGGGTTAGAATTTGATTTTCCAATGCGCTGGCTACATTTTATCAGAATTTTAAGTAAATAGTAATTACACAATCAGGAATCTTGCTCTCAGAAACACATGGTTACAAAATGAGTATAAAACAGCTCACTGCAGCTGTTCCTAACCAGAGAGATTTATGAACAATCTAATCTCATTAAAGGATTGGTCATTTAAAGCAATATTTTTCAAACTGAGGTCACAATTTACTAGTGGATAATGAAAACAATTTAGCAGTCATGATTAGCAGAGTTTTTTTTTTCTTGTTGTTTTTGTTATTTTCATGAAATAGAACAAAATAAAAATTTTCAGTGCATCCTCCTGGGTCAGGGTAGACATTATTTTATGAAATATTTGTTTAGTTGTATATGTGTATCTTTCAGTTTTGTGTAGTATGTTTCTGTGATGGGTTTTGAATAGCAGTTTAAAATGTATTTCTTGGGGCACCTGTGTGGCTCAGCCAGGTAAGTGTCCGATTTTAGCTCACGTCATGATCTCACAGTCTGTGAGTTCAAGCCCCGACTTGGGCTCTGTGCTGACAGCTCAGAGCCTGGAGCCTGCTTCAGATTCTGTGTCTCCAGCTCTCTCTGCCCCTCCCCTGCTCATACTCTCTCTCTCTCTCTCTCAAAAATAAATTTTAAAAAATTAACAATTTTTTTAATAAAAAATAAATAAAATGTATTTCTTACTGTAAGAAGCAAGTAGAAAAATTTGGAAGTCACTCCCCCAAACTATGGTAATCCAAACTGTGGAATACTATGTAGTAGTTAAAAAAAACCCTCCCCTGCCTAATCCCCTGTTTTCATATTACTTAGCGCTACCTGAAATTATATTACTTATTCATTTACATGTTTATTGTCTGAATGTCCCCCAAGAGCTGTCCATCTTGTTTGCTACTGTGCCTGGAATGGTGCACATAATAAATAATATAATAAATAATAAATGTTAGCTAACAGATAACTGAATAAGATAGTTACGATATGCACAAATCTCCAAGAGTAAGTTGCAGAATATTAGGGACAGTTTAGAACCATTTCTGTGTCAGCCACACAGATGACATCTAAGCAGCCTATTTTTTTTTATGGGAACAAATGAATCCAGAAGGATGTATATCAAATATAGCAGTGACTTATCTCCATTGTTTAATTATCAGGGAGGAGCCTAAGGTTAAAAGCATATGTGTGTTTTGTGTAGGGGTGTGTTTGTGTGTGTGTTTATGTGTGTGTGTATGCACGTGTGTGTGTGTATATGAATGTGTATGTGTGTATGCATGTGTATATGTGCGGTGTGTGTATACATTGTGTGTATGCATGTGTATGTGGTGTGTGTGTGTTTGTGTGTGTGTGTTATGGGTGGCAATCTTGTGAAAGGCCTTTTCAGTCTATTTTGTGATGGGTTTTATCAATCTGTAATGTTTGGAAATTTTGCACCTAAAATGTGATCATATATCTTCTGTTGAATTAAAAATAAAAGTTTAAAGGGGCACCTGGGTGGCGCAGTCGGTTAAGCGTCCGACTTCAGCCAGGTCACGATCTCGCGGTCCGTGAGTTCGAGCCCCGCGTCAGGCTCTGGGCTGATGGCTCAGAGCCTGGAGCCTGTTTCTGATTCTGTGTCTCCCTCTCTCTCTGCCCCTCCCCCGTTCATGCTCTGTCTCTCTCTGTCCCCCAAAAAATAAATAAACGTTGAAAAAAAAAAAGTTTAAAGGGCACCTGGGTGGCTCAATTGGTTGAGTGTCTGACTCTTGATTTCTGCTCAGGTCATGGTCTCAGGGTCGTGGAATCCAGCCCCACATTGGGCTCTGCGTTGAGCATGGAGCCTGCTTGAGATTCTCTCTCTCTCTTTCTCTCTCTCCCTCTGCCCCTCTCCCCTGCTCATGCTCTCTCTCTCTCTAAAATAAAACAAAAAAAATTTTTTTTAAAGTTTAAGTAATAGATTATGGTAGAAGAGGGTGGCAGATCATATGAGTGGATGTACTGACATGAGATATTAATAAGTGAGAAAGGGAAATGTGGAACAATACATACAGTATAATTCCATTGAATTTTAGTTAAAATTTTTACTTCTATCCAAGTAATACATATAATTCCATTTTCATATTTAAAACAATTATGTGTGTATATGTATATTTGTATATACATAGGAAGAATGCCAGAAGGCTGCTGTCAATAGAGATTACCTCTGGGAAATGGGATCAGATAAAGGGCTAAAGTGGCAGTGTTAGCTTCTTTATTTTATATACTATTCCTTGGAGGGAAAGTTGATGTCCTAGTGGAATCGGGGCAAACCCCAGACATCTACCAGGCTCGCGTCCTCTGAACTGAATATATGCTCACCTCTCAATTGTTGTAGATTAGCTTAGAAATAACCCAGCAGTTTTCCAGCTCGTCAAGATGGTCTAGTCAGAAGGGGAATGGGAGCCTTGTTTTCCTGGACTGGGACTTAGGAAGAGTGGAAGGTCTTAAATCACTGCCAGTTGTACTGTCTTGGCTTTATAAAAACTTATTATGAAGTATTCCACATTTAAAGAATTTTTTCATGCCTGAAGAATTTCATTACAAACATACCTGTCCTCACTACCCAATGTAAGAAATAAAATATTACCGATATAATTGAAGACCCTGTTTGTGCCTTTCCCCTCCCTGATTGTGTCTTTCTCCCCCTGCCCCATCACCAAAGTAACCACTAATCAGAATTTGCTATTTTTCATTTCCTCATTTCTGAAGATATAACTACATATGCACTTATCCCTAAGGGATATGTATTGGCGGTTTGCATATTTTGAGCTTTGTATAAGTAGTATTTTTTTGAGAGGCGGGGAGGGGCAGAGGGAGAGGGAGAGAGAGAATCTTAAGCAGGCTCTACGCCCAGCATGGAATCCCACTCAAGGCTCAACTGTGAGATCATGACCTGAGCTGAAATCAAGAGTTGGAAACTCAACCTGCTGAGCCACCCAGGTGCTCCAAGCTTTCTATAAAGAGTATGGAAGTGCATCTATTCCTCTGCAACTTACTTTTTTCCCCTAACACACTGATAAGATTCATTCACCTTGTTATGTGTAGGTCCATTAATTTCCCCTGCTTTGTAATAGGCCATCTTATGAATATACCACAATTTATTTATCCATTCTCCTGTTCAAGCTTTTTTTTTTCTTTTCCAGTTTTCTGCTGTTACAAAGTGCTGGTATGACTTTCTTATACATGTTTTCTTGTGCAGGCTTGGGAGAGTTTTCGTAGGTGCAAACATGGGAATGGAATGGCTGAGTCATAGGTATAGGCATCTTCAATTTTACTAAAAATTGCCAAACTGTTTTTACAAAATGTTTGGGCCAATTTACATTCCCAACAGCGCCTGAGAGTTCCCTTGCTCCATATCCTTGCCAACCCTTGGCACGGTCAGATGGTTGGGTGTAAAATGGCACTTCATTTTGGTTTTACTTTGCTTTATCTGATTCCTAGTACGTTTGTGCATATTTTTGCTTTGCCTTTTTTTACTCCCTTGAGGGCTTGCAGGGTGCCTTGGGCTGGAGGGTAGTAAAGTATATGATTGAACCAATTTGGAATTGAGAGCTGTCAGTCTTTCATCTCCGCAGATAGGGCCTGCCTCACAGGGGTTAAAGTGGTCCACACCATCTTCCACAGGGCTAATCACAGAGAGGTCTTTCTCACCAAGCTAAGATCTGTCAGAGAGAGAGAGCTGACACAGTAACAGCTGCTTCCCAAGCATCCTCCTCACACACCAGTGGGCTGAAAATCAATAGCAGAGACAACAATTATTATTATAGCTAACATTTATAGTGAGCCAGGGGCAGTGTTAAGCTCTTTACATAAATAATCTCACGTTATCCATATGCCAGCCCTTCTAGGGGGGTTTCACTAACATCACCATTTTACTAATAAACTGAGGCTCTGAGAAGATAAGTGACTTACCTAAGGGCCCACAGCAAAAACTGTAAGTTGAACCCATGCCTCCCTGACACCAAAGTTTGTGAATTTAATCACCACATAGTATCTCAAAAGCTTTGGGGGATCACTGTCCATCAATACATTTTTGAACACATAGTTCTAACACTCTTGAGTATTTATGTTACATACAATACAAGACATGCCCCAAATTCATGCTGTGTGCTAGGCCTTTACCATTTTCTCTGGGGAAGACAGTGTCCATGTTGCAGATGAGATAACTCAAGCCCAGAAAGGCTAAGTAATGTGCCCAAGATCACATACCATGGAAGTGCTGAGCAGGGATTTGAACTAAAAAATGAGGGGTATGGGTTTGGGTATAGGGAGCATGAAGAGAGTATTGGGAATAGGGAAGCTGGTGAGTGGGGGCAGCTTGAGGGGCATCCCCTTTTCCCCTTCTAAACTCAGGGTTGAGATGGGGAAGACAAAGCATGTGGTGGCTGGAACCAGAGCTTACACTGCATCTGGCCTAGGTGGGCAAGGGGCAGAAAATCACAGAGTGGGCATCGGGCCAGCAGAGACCTAAAGAATGACGGTCCTGGGGCACCTGGGTGGCGGATGTCTGACTTCAGCTCAGGTCATGATCTTGTAGTCTGTGAGTTTGAGCCCCAAGTCAGGCTCTGAGCTGCTTCAGATTCTGTGTCTCCCTCTCTCTCTGCCCCTCCCCTGCTTGCACTCTGTCTCTCTCTCTCTCTCTCTCTCAAAAATAAATCAACATTAAAGAAATTTTTAAA